CTGGGGGTTTTGGGGTCAGCTGCACTTGCAGGCGCTGACCACCATCCCCGAGAGCTGCTCGACGCGCGCCCGGCGCCCCACGAAGTAGACGATGGGCAGCGGCTCCAGGCTCTGCGGCACGCAGCACGGCGCCGCCGAGCCGCCGGGGTTGTGCAGGTTGTACAGCGCCAGCACCTGCGGGAAACGCAGCCCAAATACAGCCCAAATACAGCCAGAGTACAGCCAAAATACAGCCCAAATACAGCCCAAAATACAGCCGAAATACAGCCAAAATACAGCCAAATTACAGCCAAAGTACCCCCGAAATACAGCCCAAATACAGCCAGAGTACCCCCGAAATACAGCCCAAATACAGCCCAAATACAGCCAAAATACACCCGAAATACAGCCAAAGTACAGCCAAAATACAGCCAAAATACAGCCAAAATACAGCCAAAGTACCCCCAAAATACAGCCCAAAATACAGCCAAAATACAGCCAAAATACAGCCAAAATACAGCCAAAGTACCCCCAAAATACAGCCCAAAATACAGCCAAAATACAGCCAAAGTACCCCCAAAATACAGCCCAAATACAGCCCAAATACAGCCAAAGTACCCCCGAAATACAGCCCAAAATACAGCCAAAATACGGCCAAAATACAGCCCAAATACAGCCAAAGTACCCCCGAAATACAGCCAAAATACAGCCAAAGTACCCCCGAAATACAGCCCAAATACATCCAAAGTACCCCCGAAATACAGCCAAAATACCCCCGAAATACAGCCCAAAATACGGCCAAAGTACCCCCAAAATACAGCCCAAAATACAGCCCAAATACAGCCAAAGTACCCCCGAAATACAGCCAAAATACCCCCGAAATACAGCCCAAAATACGGCCAAAGTACCCCCAAAATACAGCCCAAAATACAGCCGAAATACAGCCAAAGTACCCCCAAAATACAGCCCAAAATACAGCCCAAATACAGCCAAAATACAGCCAAAGTACCCCCAAAATACAGCCCAAAATACAGCCCGAAATACAGCCAAAATACCCCCAAAATACAGCCAAAATACAGCCAAAATACAGCCAAAATACCCCCGAAATACAGCCCAAAATACAGCCAAAATACCCCCAAAATACAGCCAAAATACAGCCAAAATACCCCCGAAATACAGCCCAAAATACGGCTGAAATATACCTAAAATACACCCAAAATATACCTAAAATACAGCCAAAATGTATCCCAAAATACACCGAAAATATAGCTAAAATACACCTGAAATATACCTAAAATACAGCCGAAATGTATCCTGAAATACACTCGAAATACACACAGAATATATCCCAAAATACACCCAAAAGATACCCGAAATACACCCGAAATATACCTAAAATACACCCAAAAGATACCCGAAATACAGCCAAAATACAGCCGAAATATATCCCAAAATACACCCAAAATACAGACGAAATACAGCCCAAATATACCGGAAATACACCCAAAATATATCCCAAAATACACCTAAAATATATCCCAAAATACACCTGAAATACACCCGAAATACAGCGGAAATATATCTCAGAAAACACACAAAACATATCCCAAACTACACCCGAAATACACCAAAATAGCCCCGGAATAACCCCAAAATATCCCCGGAATGCTTCCAAAATCCCCCCAA